CCCTACCCCTGTATGATATTATTGTATGTTTTTCTCAGTTGTATCTCACCTGCATTGTAAGATCTACTTGCATTTACCATGAAAGGATTATGGCTGTATTGTTTTTTATTTGTAATCCAAACTTTAATAAAAACATTGAAACAGAAATACCAAAGTGTCCCAAGTGCAAAGGTCTCTTTTTTAAAAATATATATTTTTTAAATATATTCTTCAGATTTTTTTTAACATATAAAAAAGTCATTTTAATATATATTTTTTTTACATATATTTTTAAATGCATTCCAAAAATGTAGATTTGTATTTTTAAAGATATACAGTATATTTGAAATGTATTTTTAAAAATATTTTTCATATATTTTGTAATAAAAACGTATTTCAAACATGCAGTACATATATTTATTGAAATATTTTGAAATATATTGAATATGGCCAAAATTGTAGCATTTCAAATATATGTCAATATATTTGGGAAGAATATTTTTAAAATATATTTCAAATATATTTTTCTTCCATATGGGAGTAAACACACACCACTGCAATGGAAGGTAGTCTCACAGCCAGGGGCGGACTGACCATTTGGAAACTCGGGCACTGCCCGAGGGCCCGGGGTCAGTAGGGGGCCCCATGAGATGCCCCTGGTACCTTTTTCATAGGCTTTTTTGAGTTTGGGCAAGGACACAGGGGCCCCATGATCCCCTATTACCCGGGGGCTCCATTAGTTGTCAGTCCGCCCCTGCTCACAGCCACTTGCTTTTGGCCAGCAAATCACTGCAGATTCAATAAATAGTCTAGAGCACTAGATGTCCCGTTTCTTTTCTCGGAGGACTTGAGACTGTCAGGGGCCTGGACTGTGGACAGTAGGAGCAGAAAATATCCTGGCATCAGTGGGAGTAGACAATGTTCCATCTCTAGTATTAGAGGGAGGAACAGTGCCTCATCATTGGTATCAATGCAGGAATTTTGCACTGTTATTGATGTCAATGGGAGGAATAGTGCCTCGTATCTCTGAAAGGAAGAGTACCCAAGAGCCAGATCAAGGTCCGGCCCCCAGGCCGCAGTTTGGAGACCACTCATCTTCAGGTTATGTTCTCATCTGGCCATGAGCCAATTATGTGTATTTCAACCCTTGAGAGTTCTGAAAATGTAATAACTCATAACTCCCATGGTATGCAGTGCACAGTTATAAAAAATTCTGCAAGAGAGCCCGGTTGCACAGAGACGAGATGTTTGACTCCAAACATGCCAGCTTTATTGTAGAATATTGAAGAGTCATTAACAATTTGAGTCTTTTTATGGTGTTACAGGTGGTGATAGACATAAAGCAGTCTTGTTTGGTGTCTACACAGCAGAAGAACAGCTGAAACCATTACTCTTTTTTTTTTTTTTTTGGACTAATCATTCATAACATGACACAGTTATGAATGTTTGAAGGTGCAACCGCCTGCCTGCTCTATTCCATTGGATAGTTTGGGTAGATGTTAACTCACTCGGTATAAAATGTGGACTTGCTTATGTGTTTCTTATATTTATTAAGGATCATTACATTATTATTCAATTATTTTTGTAACTTTTTGTAACTTTCAATGCATTGTCCACCTAGGGATATTAAATATGAAATTAATGTGTTGGTTTTTTATTGCTCTAGAGAATATACAAATCTGAAGAGACTTTGAGTGCACGTTTGCACTAACTCTAAGTGAGATTGCCAGGTTTAGTTAACCTGTAACTACACGTGAGATCACCACGTGTGGATTATGAAAGCCTATGTGCCAGTCTGGTTGAGTGCAGAATGTACTGACTGGAGGTGCCAAGTGGTTGTTTCATGTGTCTGGAGTGTGTGAATTTTTGGGTTCTTGTGGTAATTGGCAAGCATGCCAATCTGTTCTCCCTTTGTCTCTGTACCTTCCATACCCCCATCCAGGGGTGGACTCACAACTCATGGGGCCCCACGGCAATAGGGGATCATGGGGCCCCTGTGTCCTTGCCCACACCCAAAAAGGCCTAAGAAAAAGCCAATGAAAGATACCAGAGGTATCTCATGGGGCCCCCTACTGACCCCGGGCCCTCGGGCAGTTCCCGAGAGCTCAACTGGTCAGTCCGCCCCTGCGCTATCCATGACAAAATGTCATTGTTACTTTCTGTCCTGGTGACCATTGCTATTGTTACAGGACATGAAACATTTTACAGTTGTTACTGGAATAGAACCACATCTCATGGGGATGACCACGGTTTTGGTGACCTCTGTCAAACCTAGAATTTAGCCTAATTTCAGGAAGATTGCCTTTTAAGTTAAAAAAAACTGTTGCAAATATGAATCTAGCACTACCCCCTTAGGGGTTGCTGAGTAATTTTCAGGCTACCTGTCGTTCTTGAACCCACTCTGGAAGCCCAACCCCTGCTTACACCACCCTAAGTTTCTGGCCAGAGAAATCCTCTGATTGGTGCCAGAAAATAGACACACACACAGTTTACAGTGAACTGATGTTTTGCTTATATTGAAATCAAATAAAATCACAGTAGAGCTACATAAATAAACAAATGTGCAAGTAATAATGGTTATCACTATTAGCAACTTTAAGCAAAGGCCAACACACAGCAAAAACCTCAATCAGTTCTAGATGTCCCGCAATTCAGAATTCAACCAATAGCCTCAGTCCTGAGATGCTTCTTTCCCCAGTGAGCATAGTTACATAGTTAGTCTGGCTGAAAAAAGACAAAAGTCCATCCAGTTCAACAATAAAAAAAAAAAAAAAGTTATAATCCTATACCCACAGTTGATCCAGAGGAAGGCAAAAAAAACCCCCAGAAAAAGCATTATCCAATTTGCTTCTTCGGGGAAAGAAATTCCTTCCTGAGAGGCAATCAGATATTTCCTTTATTAACTTTACCTATAAATGTTAGTATCCAGTTATATTCTGATTCAGAGGAACTACCAAACAATAAGACTAGCTTAATTTGGGCTCTCAGCGGCTGGTGACAGGGTTCAATTTTGAGGCAAAGAAAGAGCTCTTTAGTTGGAAAGGTTAATTTCCCTTTAAACTGTAGTGAAAAATCTCTTGCGCGCTTGATGTGGCCCAAGTTGGTGCACTTTAAGAGTTCAAATTTCTTTGGATGCAAAGGTAGAAGTTCCTTAAAGGATTCATGCAAAATTAGATTAGATTGTAGATGAGATGTAGATGTTAAACAGAAGGTTTAAGGAGTGGGCAGAAGTACTTTGTTGTAAGGGTTAACTCCTCTTTAGGCCACAGTAGCAAATGACAACAATGAAGGGGGTTCCTTGATGAAGGTGGGCCAATTGCAAGGGAAGCAGTGATGTGTCTTGGCCCGCAGTGGGCGGACACTGCAGTAGGCTCTTATGCTGAAGGTGTATTTGCTAGTAGTATGGTAAACTAGGCCTCAACATGTGTGACTTGTGAACAATGTCAGTAAAACTAGGTAAAGAATGGCCAACTTGAATAATATCAGTGACAACTTAAATGGCTTGAGAATGGGACTCTCTCATCTGATCTGTGGCATCATTCAGGTAACTAGCTATCTATCTGTAGATGGGGGCCCCCAGCAGCCTTGTGGTTCCTCCTTCACAGATCACTCCTGACAGCAGCACTCTGGACTGCCGGCTAAGAGACTCCTCGGCGATTGTCAACGGACAGTGATTCCTCCCTTCTTCTCCACTCTCCCACTTTGCACACCTCCTTCTCCTCACACCCACCTTCCAGCTCTCCCAGATCACTTTCTGTCCCCGGATTCCTGGGCTTCTGTATTTATCTGCCTTGGAACATTCCGGCTCCTCTGGGAAATGTAGTCTTTTCGTTTGCTGTCCCCACAGCAAAGTGCTGCAGTTAGCCTACAAAGTCCATAAAGCTTTTCAGCAGAGTCTGTGCCACTGATTTGCAGGACACTGCGCCTTTTGTCTCTTTAACATCCTGCAGCCTGAATTATAGCAGAGTGTTACACGACTCTTAACAGGTTAGTGCTGGACATATGACTGAGCCTTTCAAGTTTTATTGGAAACAGGAACACAGAGACAGCAAATTATATCATAACCTTGTTTTGTTGTACACATACACTGATCAAGCCATAACATTATGACCACGCACCCGTGAAAAGATCACCCACCCTAATATATTAAGGAGGTCTCCGATTTGCTGCCAAAAAACAACCCTGACCCACTGAGGCATGACCTGTCGTCTAGCCATTACAATCTGCCCCTTTTCAAAGTTGCTCAAATCCTGTTTTTTCTGCTTTCAAAACATCAACTTCAGGGCTCATTAACTTACTGCCTAATATATTCCATCCACTTTCAGGTGTCACTATAATGAGATAATCAATGTTGTTCACTTTACCTGTCAGTGGATATAAGGTCATGGCTGATCGGTTTGTAAATTAGCTGTGTGGACAGAGATAACGATAAACATATTTTCACTTTAAATGCGTTCCACCTAATGAGCCATGAAGAAGACATCTGTCTGAAGGGACCTCTGTTCTGGGAGAAGGAGAGCAACACATGGGACACTGATGAACTCTCATAAACTGGAACAAATGATGCCATACAAGTCAATTTATCTAATGATTGGCTTATTACGAAAAAAAAACTGAGTATGGTGCAGGTAATAAATAGAAGAAAAATCCTGGGATCTTACAGTAGATGAATCTACAGGTACTAAGACCTCTGTGCACAATACTGATTATTGAGCATCACCGAGGTAAGGACTTCACCACAACGATACAATGATGAAGAACCCTTCTAATACATAAGAAGTGCAGTAGAAGAGTGGAGAAAAATATTACTAACGTAAGTATATGTAGGAATCAGTATATGTAGGTATCATTGGGGCAGTATATACAGGAGAGGAGTGTGGAGGGTATGATGGTGGGCAGTATGTACAGGAGAGGAGTGTGGAGGGTATGATGGGGGCAATATGTACAGGAGAGGAGTGTGGAGGGTATGATGGGGGCAGTATGTACAGGAGAGAGTGTGGAGGGTATGATGGGGGCAGTATGTACAGGAGAGGAGTGTGGAGGGTATGATGGGGGCAGTATGTACAGGAGAGGAGTGTGGAAGGTATGATGGGGGCAGTATGTACAGGGAGTGAGTGTGGAGGGTATGATGGGGGCAGTATGTACAGGAGAGGAGTGTGGAGGGTATGACAGGGGCAGTATGTACAGGAGAGGAGTGTGGAGGGTATGACAGGGGCAGTATGTACAGGAGAGAAGTGTGGAGGGTATGATGGGGGCAGTATGTACAGGAGAGAGGAGTGTGGAGGGTATGAACAGGGGGCAGTATGGACAGGAGAGAGTGTGGAGGATATGATGGGGGGCAGTATGTACAGGAGAGAGAAGTGTGGAGGGTATGATGGGGGGCAGTATGTACAGGAGAGGAGTGTGGAGGGTATGATGGGGGCAAGTATGTACAGGAGAGGAAGTGTGAGGTATGATGGGGGAAGTATGTACAGGAGAGGAGTTGGAGGGTATGATGGGGTGGGATGTACAGGAGGAAGTGTGGAGGGTATGATGGGGGCAGTATGTACAGGAGAGGAGTGTGGAGGGTATGATGGGGGCAGTATGTACAGGAGGAGTTTCATGGGGAGGGTATGATGGGGGCAAGTATGTACAGGAGAGGAGTGTGGAAGGTATGATGGGGGCAGTATGTACAGGAGAGAAGTGGAGGGTATTTATGGGGGCAGTATGTACAGGAGAGGAGTGTGGAGGGTATGATGGGGGTGGTATGTACAGGAGGAAGTGTGGAGGGAATGATGGGGGCAGTATGTACAGGAGATGAGGTGTGGAGGGTATGATGGGGGCAGTATGTACAGGAGAGGAGAGTGCAGAGGGTAGGATGATGGGGGCAGTATGTACAGGAGAGGAGTGTGGAGGGTATGATGGGGGCAGTATGTAGAGGAGAGGAGTGGGAGGGTATGATGAGGGCAGTATGTACAGGAGAGGAGTGTGGAGGGTATGATGGGGCAGTATGTACAGGAGAGAGTGTGGAGGGTATGATGGGGGCAGTATGTACAGGAGAGGAGTGTGGAGGGTATGATGGGGGCAGTATGTACAGGAGAGAGTGTGGAGGGTATGATGGGGGCAGTATGTACAGTAGAGAGGTGTGTGTAGAGGGTATGATGGGGGCAGTATGTACAGGAGAGGAGTGTGGAGGGTATGATGGGGGCAGTATGTACAGGAGAGGAGTGTGGAGGGTATGATGGGGGCAGTATGTACAGGAGAGAAGTGTGGAGGGTATGATGGGGGCAGTATGTACAGGAGAGAGAGTGTGGAGGGTATGATGATGGGGGCAGTATGTACAGGAGAGGAGTGTGGAGGGTATGAAGGGGGCAGTATGTACAGGAGGAGTGTGATGGGTATGGGGGCAGTATGTACAGGAGAGGAGTGTGGGGGTATGATGATGGGCAGTATGTACAGGAGAGGAGTGTGGAGGGTATGATGGGGCAGTATGTACAGGGTATGAAGAGGCAGTATGTACAGGAGGGTATGATGGGGGCAGTATGTACAGGAGAGAGAGTGTGGAGGGTATGATGATGGGCAGTATGTACATGAGAGGAGTGTGGAGGGAATGATGGAGCAGTATGTACAGGAGAGAGGTGTGTGGAGGGTATAATGGGGGGCAGTATGTACAGGAGAGGAGTGTGGAGGGTATGATGGGGGCAGTATGTAGAGGAGAGACGTGTGGGGGGTATGACGTGGACAGTATGTCCAGTAGAGGAATGTTTTATTGGACAAGTATGTACAACATACACAAGATGTTTGTTTTCAGTTTACGTTTTAAAATATCTGTCAGTGTGCTGTGCTCATAGATAATTTATACACATACAGTATGTGCACCAACCCTCCCACACACCCCCATACACATAAAATGAAGGAAATAAGTATTTGATTCCCCTGATGATTTTGAATGTTTGCCACTCACAAAGAAATGATCAGTCTAAAAATCGAATGGTAGGTGTATTGTAACACAGAGAGACAGAATAGCAACAAAAAATTCAAAAGAACTGCATGTCTAACAAATTATCCACTGATTTGCATGTTCATGAGGAAATACGTATTTGATCCCCTATTATTCAGCAGGATTTCTGGCTACAAGCTGTCTTTCTAACAGGTAACAAGCTGAGATTAGAAGCAGTCTCTTAAAGGAAGTGCTGCTAATCTCATTTTGTTACCTGTATAAAAGACACCTGTCCACAGGAGCAATCAAACAATCAGATTCCAAACTCTCCATCATGGCAAAGACCAAAACAGCTGTCCATGGATGTCAGGGACAAGATTGTAGACCTACGACAAGCTGGACTGAGCTACCAAACTATAACCAAGCAGCTTGGTGAGAAGGTGACAACAGTTGGTGCAATCATTCGCAAATGGAAGAAACACAAAACAACTGTCAGTCTCCCTAGTTCTGGTGCACCATGCAAGATCTCGTGGAGTGTCAATGATCATGAAAACAGTGAGGAATCATCCCAGAACTACACGTGAGGATCTTGTCAATGATCTCCAGGCAGCTGGGACCACAGTCACCAAGAAAACAATTGGTAAAACACACTACGCCGACAAGGATTGAAATCCTGCAGTGCCCACAAGGTCCCTCTGCTCAAGAAAGCACATGTCCAGGCCCATCTGAAGTTTGCCACTGAACATCTGAATGATGCAGAGAGGACTGGTTGAAAGTGTTGTGGTCAGATGAGACCAAAATCCAGCTCTTTGACATCAACTCAACTCGCCGTGTTTGGAGGAGGAGAATGCTACCTATGACCCCAATAACACCATCCCAACTGTCAAACATGGTGGTGGAAACATTCTGCTTTGGGGGTGTTTTTCTGCTAAGGGGACAGGACAACTGCACCGCATCAAAGGGACGATGGACAGGCAATGTACCATCAAATCTGGGTGAGAAACTTCTTCCCTCAGCCAGGGCATTGAAAATGGGTTGTGGATGGGTGTTCCAGCATGACAATGACCCAAAGCACACGGCCAAGGCAACAAAGCAGTGGCTCAAGAAGAAGCACATTAAGGTCCTGGAGTGGCCTAGCCAGTCTCCAGACCTTAATCCGAATTGAAAATCTGTGGAGGGAGCTGAAAGTTTGAGTTGCCAAACGTCAGCCACCGAAACCTTAATGACTTGGAGAGGATCTGCCAAGAGGAGTGGGCCAAAATCCCACCTGAGATGTGTGCAAATCCTGGGGCCAACTACAGGAAATGTCTGACCTCTGTGATTGCCAACAAGGGATTTGCACCAAGTACTAAGTCATGTTTGTGAAGGGGATCAAATACTTATTTCCCTCATGAACATGCAAATCAGTGCATCATTTGTTAGACATGCATTTCTTTTGAATTTTTTGTTGCTATTCTGTCTCTCAGTGTTACAATACACCGAACATTCGATTTTTAGACTGATCGTTTCTTTGTGAGTGGGCAAACATTCAACATCAGCAGGGGATCAAATACTTATTTCCTTCACTGTATATGATGGTGCTGTGCTGCACTGGTGACAGCATGTTAAAAAACAAAATTGGGAAAAATACTATTTTTAAAAAATGTCTTCTTTTTCCAAAAAAATTGTGACAAAAAAAATTACTTCAAAAAACTTGCCATGCCTCTTACTAAATATCTTGGACTGTCTACTTTCCAAAAAGGGTCATATGGGGGCTATTTGCACTGTCCTGGCATTTTGGGCCTCAACAAATTAGATAGGAAGTCAGTACAGCAAGACTGATCAGTTTTCCATATCCCATAGTTTGTGGACTTCATAACTTTCCTACAGACTAAATAGTATACAATGATTTGGGTTACAGTGCCTTGAAAAAAGTATTCATACCCCTTGAAATTTTCCACATTTTGTCATGTTACATGTTACAACCAAAAGCGTAAATGTATTTTATTGGGATTTTCTGTGATAGAATAGACCAACACAAGGTGGCACATAATTGTGAGGTGAAAAGAAAATGATAAATGGTTTTCAAAAGTTTTACATATAAAAAGGTGGAAAGTGTTGCGTGCATTTGTATTCAGCCCCCTTTACTCTGATGCCCCTAACTAAATCTAGTGGAACCAAATGCCTTTAGAAGTCACCTAATTCATAAACAGAGTTCACCTGTGTGTAATTTATTCTCAGTATAAATACAGCTGTTCTGTGAAGCCCTCAGAGGTTTGTTAAAGAACAAACAACATCATGGAGGCCAAGGAACACACCAGACAGTTCAGGGATAAAGTTTTAGTCTACTTTTTTTTTTAGCCTACGTGTTGGTAGACCTAAAAAAAGCAACTGGCAAATACATTCAGGTAGATTGTATACAAACTTATATATTTATATTGCTGCTTTATATAAAGTTACAAATATATAACATACACACAAAAAAAGATAAGTGAAAAATGCAATTCAAAGTCCCAATGGTATCCGAAATCAACGTGTACCACCATCATAGGTTTGGGGGACTCTTACCAGAACATGTGGATTCTTTTGTTAAAGAAAGAATCAGTAGAGTGATTTAATAAATTATCCACAGCTGACTCATTATCTCTTCACGTTGCCATATAAAAACCGTCAAGACTTTATTGGCAAACTTGGTATCACTTCCACATCCCTCCATATACTCAAGGTGACATCATATTCAGTGATATGGAATTCTCAATAAATTAAAACCATGTACAAGTATATATATATATATATATATATATATATATATATATTGCCAAAAGTATTGGTCGGCTGGCCTTTCCACGCACATGAACTTTAATGGCATCCCAGTCTTAGTCCGTAGGGTTCAATATTGAGTTGGCCCCGTCCTTTGCAGCTATAACAGCTTCAACTCTTCTGGGAAGGCCATCCACAAGGTTTAGGAGGGTGTCTATGGGAAGGATTGACCATTCTTCCAGAAACGCATTTGTGAGGTCAGGCATTGATGTTGGGGGAGGAGGCCTGGCTTGCGGTCTCAGTACCATTCTCCTGGCAACCGCCAAAACTCAGACATGTCCATCAAATTGCCAGACTGAGAAGTGTGATTGGTCACTCCAGAGAACACTTCTCCACTGCTCTGTCCAGTGGCGGCGTGCTTTACACCACTGCATCCAACGCTTTGCATTGCACTTGGTGATGTAAGGCTTGGATGCAGCTGCTCGGCCATGGAAACCCATTCCATGAAGCTCTCTATGCACTGTTTTGCTAATCTGAAGGCCACACGCAATTTGGAGGTCTTTAGCTATTGACTCTGCAGACAGTTGGTGACTTCTGCGCACTGTGAGCTTCAGCATGCGCTGACCCCGCTCTGTCATTTTACATGGCCTACCACTTGGTGGCTGAGTTGCTGTTGTTCCCAGTTGCTTCTACTTTGTTATAATCCCACTAACAGTTGAGCGTGGAATATTTAGCAGCCAGGAAATGTCACGGATGGACTTCTTGCACAGGTGACAACCTATCACGGGACCATGCTTAGCGTCACTGAGCTCCTGAGGCTGACCCATTCTTTCACAAATGTTTTAGAAGCAGTCTGTATGCCTAGGTGCTTGACTTTATATACCTGTGGCCATGGAGGTGATTGAAACACCTGAATCCAATGATTTGGAGGGCGGGGCCAATACTTTTGGCAATATAGTATATATATACAGTTGCAAGAAAAAGTATGTGAACCCCTTGGGATTACGTGGAGTTTTGCATAAATTGGGCATAAAATGTGCTCTGAACGTCATCTAAGTCACAACAATAGAAGAACACAGTCTGCTGAACGTAATACTACACAAACATTAGATGTTGCCATGGTTTAATTGCACATAACATGTAAACATTCACAGTGCAGGGAGGAAAAAGTATGTGAACCTTTGGACTTAATAACTGGTTGACCCTCCTTTGGCAGCAATAACCTCAACCAAACGTTTCCTGTAGTTGCAGATCAGACCTGCACAACGATCTGGAGTCATTTTGGACCACTCCTCTTCACAAAACTGTTTCAGTGTAGCAATATTCTTGGGATGTCTGGTGTGAATCGCTCTCTTAAGGTCATGCCACAGCATTTCAGTCGGGTTGAGGTCAGGACTCTGACTGGCCACTCCAGAAGGTGTATTCTGTGCTGTTGCAGCCAATGTTTTGTTGAATTACTTGTATGCTTTGAGTCATTGTCCTGTTGCATCACCCATCCTTTGCGGAGCTTCAGTTGGCGGACAGATGGTTGTACGTTTTTCCTGCAAAATGTCTTGATAAACTCTGGAATTCATTTTCCCATCAATGACAACAATCCGTCCAGGCCCTGAGGCAGCAAAGCGGCCCCAAACGATGATGCTCCCTCCGCCATGTTTTACAGTGGGGATGAGGTTTTGATGTTGGTGTGCTGTGTCTTTTTTTCTCCACACATAGTGTTGTGTGTTCTTCCCAAACAACTCAATCTTGGTTTCATCTGTCCACAGTATATTTTGCCAGTAGTGCTGTGGAACATCCAGGTGCTCTTTTGCGAACTTCAAACGTGCTGCAATATTCTTTTTGGACAGCAATGGCTTCCTCCGTGGTGTCCTCCCATGTACTCCATTCTTGTTTAATGTTTTCCTTATTGTAGATGTGTCAACAAAAATGTTAGCATGTGCCAGAGATTTCTGAAGGTCTTTAGCTGACACTCTGGGATTCTTCTTTACGTCATGCAGCATTCTGCGCTG